TGTGTGCGTAAACCTACCATAGCTTGAAAGTAAATAGGCTGTTTCCAAAGATAGTGTATGTTATGTAAAAAAAGGACGTGTGACTTTAATTTTGGGACGACTAATTTGAAAAGTGTGACTCTCTTGTTTGGATCTGACCGCCTGACAGGGCCGGCCAAAGAGTGGGTCATGGTGCCCTACCAGTCCAGACTCATTTTTTCAGACGGCCAATTTTTTTAGTTTTTAAATATACTCCGTATATTGTATATGTTTTTAATAAAAAAATTTAAAAATTGACTTTTTAAGGTAGCTATTACGATATTTAATTAATCCCCCATCCTAAAATTAACTTTTCCATTTGATTTTTGTAGTCAAACTTGTTAAACTTTAACCGTATATTACTTTAAAAAAAACGTTAAATTTCATATAATTTTTTTTCATCAATATATTCGGGAGCGACAGTGTCGCCTGATTGTCTCAAAAATCAAAATGATGGAGTAAGGGGGAATTGGGGAAATGAAAAAAAGAACAAGTAGGGGTCAAGGTGATGGGCCAAGCAATGTGACTATATCAAAGAGTTGATAACTGGGCTAGCAAGCGAGGTTTGGGCTTCTTGGTATTATTACAGAGACCCAATTGGATGAATGGACAAAATTGAACCCGAAAGGAATGTTGGAAACATTCCACACTTAGCTGCTCTGTCTGTGTACTAATAACCCCTACAAGTTAGCTGGAATTACTGACCCAACCCCAAAAAAAAATTTGGGCGAAATTAAATTAAAATACTCCCTTAGTCCAAAATTTACTCCCTCCATTCTTATTTAGGATCATACTAGCGTGCCACCACATGAGTGCAGCCATGCTTTGCACACATAAATACAGACGATAATTGTCTGTGCGACACAGACAATTATCGTCTGTGTTTGTCTGTGCGAAGCATGGGTGCACCTATGATACCACCCATGTGGTGGCATCCTAGCATTTTCCTCTTATTTAACCATGCGATTTGTTTTTCGAATTTAAAGTTTGACCACTAACATCTTTAAAATATATTAGCAAAAGTTTTAAACTTTATGCATTTAAAATATTTTTGATACCAATAATTTGGTATAATTTTATATTTTAATTCATTTTATATTTTTAGATATAGTTAGTCAAACGTCTGACACGCAAAGCAAAACAAACAGTTAAATAGGAATGAAGGTAGTATGTTAACGTTGCGCATTATGATATTTGACTAAATTTATTTTTAAATTATTTATATGAAAAATGATGTGAGTTCAAAAAATAAAAATTTCTCCGTATATATTTAAAACTACGTCAAAATATCTACAAAATGAGAAGTGACGTGATCATATTGTTTTGTCAAATGAGCAACGAAAAATGACCAACAAAGTAAATAAAATTTGATCATGTGAAAAATGAATGAGAAGATAATTTTTGGATAGAGGAACATATATGGCATGTTTGGGAATAATGTTAGCGATTAGAGTTAGCGTTTTGAAAAAACTATCTACGGGCAGTATTTAGCGTTAGCGTTTTCAAAGTAATCTGCACCGTTAAAATTTTATCCAAAATGCTAATGCTAATCTCTAACGCTATTCCCAAACAAGCCCATAGTAATCTCTAATGCTATTCCCAAACAAGCCCATAGTATTCCCTTTATCATCCCATAGTTTACCATCTTTGACTAACAGTATTTTTTCTTAATTTATATGAAAACCTAGCATAAAATAAAAAAATAAAATTTATGTATTTTTAAAATTATATTAGAAAATCTCTAACACGTAATACAAAAATATTGAAAGAAAAAGTACATAGTACGTATAACATTTGTAAAGAATCAAAGAGGAGGAATGAAATATTTTCTTTTTTTTTTTCAAAATTTGAGTCCGCCAAACATCCCCTCCAGTCTTCCCCTAGACTGACATAAATAAAGAATTGACAGATACCCAATTTTGAAAGCTCCGGGTCCACTTTCATAAAGCCCACAGATCTGATTTGTACTCTTTTAACCCTACTCATTTTTCTTTTACATTTTTTTTATTCTTCCATGTTTCTAATATACTCCTTCAATCCCAAATTATTTACCACATTTGTATTCTCGAGGTAAAATATAAAATTTTTTCAATTTATTTTATTTACATATTGGTAAAGAAATAAAAAATAAAATTTACATATAAAAAACTACATGAAAAATTCTTCAAAATAAGAGGTGTCAAAAATATTTTATTTTATCAAATAATCAATGAAAACGTCGAAATAAATAAAAGTTTCCGACACTACTGAAAAAGCAAATGTTGTGAATATTTAAAAACGGAGAAAGTATTTTCTAACTTCTTAAAAAGATTGTCATAGTTTGACTATTTTAGTCAAATTATGCACCACTTTGATTACAAAGTATGAAAAAAATAATTACTTAAAATGTAAAATTGATAAAATTAGATTTATTTTAAAATATAATTTAAGATATCAAATTTTTAAAATATTTAATCATTTTTTAAAATATACGAGTATCTAATTTATGGTCAAAGTGTGCCATATTTTGACAAAAAAGTCAAACTATGGCAACATTTGTAGGACAGAGGGAATAGTTTCTTAGAGTAAGTAATACCTCTTCCGTTTAAAAAAATGTCATGTTATATAAAACGAAATAAAATTTCAAGTTTTTATTAAATTTATTTTATTCAAAGATTGATATATAAATAAAAATATATACATTACTTATTTAAAAGCTACGCCAAAAGTTCTTTAAAGCAAGTGCGGTCGAGAATTTTTTATTTATCAAATAATAAATGAAAGCATATAATAAATAAAAGTTTTCATAATTTTTAAATAGTAAAGTGTGACCTTTTTTTAGAACAGAGGAAGGATTTTTTGGTTCAACGACTTTGTGTTCGACAAATTAAAGGTCACATGTTCCAACTTTAGTAAGGGGTGTAATAACCCTCTAACCTTCAAAACAACAAGTCTGTTTGGGAATAACATTAGAGTTTAGCGTTAGTTTTTTGAAAAAGCTATCTACGGACAGTGTTTATTTAGCGTTAGCATTTTCATAGTAATCTGCACCGTTAAAATTTTATTCAAAATCCTAACACTAATATCTAACGTTACTCCCAAACAGGCCCAACGACATCTCTTTCTCAAGCGGAGTATTATTTTTCTTATTTTCTTTTTGAACCGTCTTAAAATATAAAAAACACTCCCAAAATTAATTCTTCATGCAATAAAGGAGAAATGAATTGAATTCTAGATATTCTAGATGAGTAGAAAGTTGTAGAATGCAAAGAAGAAAAAAAAGATGAAATTGTTTTTTCAAGAAAAATTTACACTAAATAAGACTAAAACATAAGTCATTTCCCAATGTAAAACTTAAATTTTTTTATTTTCTAAACAGGACTTAGTAATGTCTAGGGAGATAAATAATGTCCAGTGATGGTGTACATTCACTTGAATAATGACTAAAGTGTAATGACCAGTGGTCCTACATTGGGAGATCAAAACATATGGTCTTACATTGAAAAAGTCATTATCTTTTAATTCTATTTATATAAATTCCTCTTTTTCAAATGGATAGTGTAGAAAAAAAAAGTAGAAAAAAACTACGTCAAACAAAACAAGAAATGGCAAGAATATTTTATTTTATAAAATAATCGATGAAAATGTATAAGTAAATAAAAATTCTTGTAATTTTTTAGTAGTAAATCATGACATTCTTTTTAGAATTGACGGAAAAATGTACTCCTTTCGTCCCACAAAATCTCTCTCTTTTCTTTTTTCATCCGTCCCAAAAAACACTTCTTATTTCTATTAAAAAGTCACTTTTACCCCTTACTTTTTCATATCCTACATATCACATCATACCTTTTCACTAATAATCTATCCATCAAATCATACTTTTACACATCACATCAAAGGACATTTTTGAAAATTCAATACCAAAACACACTCCTTTTAAATCCCTCTCCAAAACCAAAACTCCCATGTTTTCCGGGACGGAGGGAGTATGTTTCTTTTTAAATTACTTTTGAATAAAGGAGAAAGAAAGAAAGAAAAGTATGCAAAATAGATAACGACAGTGCGACAGTGCACAGGGTTAAGGATTGTATAGGAGTTGAAGTGCAGAAACAAGCAATGGGCGCCCTATAAATGCGGGCAGACAGACCATGGCGCCTTTCTTGAAGGTAAATTATGCCATGATACGGTATTCCCCTTTCCCTCCGTCATACAAGTGAATTGTTGACATTTTAACTTCACTTATTTTAACGAAGTTGTTGGAAAATTAAAAGTGTATGATTATAATTTATACAAAAATAGTAATTGGTAGTCATATATTCAATGCCAAAATAGAGAATAGAAAATAAAGTGCAAATTTTTTAAATGTCTAAAAAAAGAAGCGTAAAAAATTCTCTGACCAAAAGAGTACTCGAATTACATCTCTCAGAAAATTTACACCAATACTTCTAGATTTTGTTGATTACTCCCGTATATACTATTACTCACATATTACATACTCCCACAAATTCCTAAAAATATGGGAATGATTGATTTTTATAAAATTTAAGGAAAGTGTATTTTGGTATTGAATTTCCAAAAAAGTCTTTTGATATGATGGGTAAAAATAGGATTTCATGGTTAGATTATTAGTGAAAATGTATGATTTGATAGGTAGTGTATCAAAGCGTAGGGGTAAAAATGATTTTTTAATAGAAATAAGAAATATTTTTCGGGATGGATGGAAAAAGAAAGAAAAAAGATTTTTAGAGATGGAGTGATATTATACACCAAAACTATTAGAAATCAATGAGTCAACTTTGAGCTTAATAAGGGGAAGTTATTTTGGATGACATGACATTTTAAAAAATGAATTTACTTGGAGGCTTGAAGAACTTCAAATACCATCCTTTTAGAACATGTGTACGTCTATTAAGCTTTCTCAACTCTTTTGATAGCAGTGACCTTCACATCGTCAGTTAACTGAAAGGCTCGTCAAGGTTCCACGGAGCGCCAACATATCAGTCATAGTTAAATCTACCTCTGACTTGTATCGGTCCTATCAGCTCCCACTACATACACATATTGCCGAATCCTAACAACCCCAAGAGCAAATTAAACACTCTCCGTACTCAACAAGAATGTTTTAGAGATGTTTCTGCGTCTGGATGGATGTGATGGTTTTGAATTGAAGAACATAAATAAATTATGTTTGTGATTATGATTTGTTAAGCTTCCGCAATATTGAAAAATGCGTACTGTTTATGTTATGAAAAATATTATTGTGATAAATAAAAGTGTTTGAAATGTTTTAAATTTTTACAATTACCAAGTTAATACTTTAGTCCGAAAGGGGATGTATACCTGGACGGATTAGGGTATTACATTATGGATTGGGCGAAGATGTGTTGAATTACAACAAAATCGCAAGCACCTATGGGGGTAGGTCATCTAGAAATGCTTCAAAACTGGCTTTAACTGCACATGATGAAACCTGCATCATCAACATTTCAAACTTCAAAGTACTCACATGGAGAGTGTGAAGCAGAAATAGCTTAAAACTACTTGAGTGACACTGCTTGAGATGTGGTAACATCACCCTGCAATGTAACACCCTTGTTTTCCGAGGAAAAGTCCATCGTTAAGTTGGCATAATCATTCGTCACATTGCCTAACTATTGTAGCCATTGGATTCCAAACACAATATCTTGAATTTGAATCTTCAAGACAAAAAGATCTATTGAAAATAGAGTACCTTACATCAATATCTAAACCCGGGGACATTTCGTGGTGCACGATAAGGAATCACTGTTTCCAACATACACCCGGAATGGTGAGATTTGTTCCACCATCAACTTAAGATGCTAAGCCATCTTTGGATGTATGAAATAGTGGGTAATACCACTATCTATTAAAATTGAAACTGGTTTACTCACAATGCTCCCATTAACACGTAGGGAATGTAGATTTGAAGCACCTACGAGACTATCAAGGCTGGGGATATCTACTGCGAGAACTGCCTCTTTACAAGGTTGAGATGAATCACCAGTGGATAGAGGATCATGATCTGGGGCAGTCGAATCGCATAACAACCTAAATTTGCCACAATCATGTCCCTTAAACTACTTATTATCACCATTAAACACAAAGACCTTTCTTTTGGGGTTCCACCCTTTCAGTCAAGGTTCAACTACATACCAGAACCTCGTTGGGTACATTAAGAGTAGATATGCAAGAAATAGGCAATAAAGGCTTTGAAATTTTAATCGATTTTAGTTGCAATCCAGCCATTATTTTGGACCAAGGTTTCCTCGATGCTTGGAGAAAACATGAGAATTGTTCTAAAAATGACGCTTCAAGTTCACGGGCCAAGGCAAAAGCCTACATTAATGTCTCAGGTTGTAGCTCTACTGACGAACCATTTAAATAATATTCCAAATATGTTTGAAAAGCCATATACCTTATTTGGGGTGTGAATTCACTAATTTTTTGATCACATATATATATGTGTGTGTGTGTGTGTGTGTGTGTGTGTGTGTGTGTTTAACGTACTTTTGTGAAAATCTTGTATTGAGACCATACTATGCTTCGGGACCTATGCATTGACAGTGTCCAAAATCGACCAAAGCACCCTTAATAGTTCCAAATACGTCTTAAAAGCCATACCTTGCCCAGAGTGTCAATTCAACAAATTTTGAATCATATGTGCTTAACATACTTTTGTGAAGATCCTGCAAAAACTTAGGCTAAGAACAAAGTATGGTATTCTTGTTTAAATACATGAGCCAATTAGAGGGAGCCCCTTCGAGTAACAGGCCTACTGGAGAAAGACATTGATCTTGAGGCGTTGCATAATAATCAAAATATTCATGGACACAAAAAACCCAACCATTGGTGCCTGTTCGTGAGAATTTTGGAGGTTTCAAACGAAGCTTAGGCATAAAGAGGGCACCGGCTTGCGAGTTGCTAGCTGGCTACCGAGTGTGAAGGAATTCATACGACTAGTACACAGGGAGAGTCCATTAAGGAAAACCTGTTATTGGATTTGGTTGTGAAGGAATTCATACGACTTAGTGGTTGATTGCTGGTTGTCTGTGAAGCGTAATTCCATGTCAGCCAATGAAGCCAAAGTTTTAGAGATACCATCATCTTGAGCCATATAAAAGCACCAATGATACATGAGTGTATGAGAAGATCACACTTCAAGTGGCGATTAACTCCCAAGAAAAGAAGAAGAAGATCAAGTGAGAAGATAATAATTTTATTCATCCCTTAATTATTACTTTGTTTGGGTGGCTAGATATAGGTCCCTTACAATGATTGGAGTGGAAATAAAATCAACACATTTACTTCTAAATCAATTAGGAATCATATCCTATCAATCTAGTTGATGGTTTCCTTCTGCGTAATCTCCTTCTCACTATAGCAGACTCATTTGGGGAGTCTTCCGTACCTTTAATTGGGACATAATTGGTATCACTGAGGTTCATAAAGACCCAAACCCCCTTCTCCCTTAGGTTTGCAAATATTTGCTCAAGCCACTTTGGTGAACATACTACCCACAGAAAGTCATGACAAAGAGTGATGGAAAGCTAGACTAGAAATAATACTTGGAACCAAAAACATCCCACATCTTGTATCACTTCCTAGATGAGTTCTATCTTCACAGCATATGAAAGAATATTTGCTCTCTAATTTATAAGGAATCCATCAATCTTGGAAACCAATAGAACAAATTCAACTTCAGAGAGTCGTTGAGAGGCCAAGGTTAAGACCAAATACCTTACATGTAGATGATTGATAAGAAATTGTGCAAAGTTAAGAATACCTTAATTGAACATTTAATTTCCATGCTCATTCATCATCTTCTTCTTTCGATCTGATCCAGCCCCCCTGTTAACACCTTGTCAGGGTGTACAAATTTAATACCCTTATGAAACCACTAAATTAATAAAAGGTAGTATAGTAGTAATAAGGGGTCGAATCCTCGAGGAGGTGTATTTTGAAAAAAATACTTTTCTTACTTGAAAACCAATGAATAGTATGAAGGGTATTTATATAATAGTTCACACTCACACACACACGTTTGGGGGGGTTTGATTTAAAGCATATTTAAAAGTAACGAAAAGTATATGATAAGTAAACCTATTTGTGTTGTGTGTGAAAAGAAAACAAGATATATTCATAACTTTAGACTCTTTCTTTTGGTTTGAAAAAGAACTTGGTTTAATGTGGACTTCTGAAACTCACGTTTGCCTAATCACTAAATCAGATGACTAGCATGATTAAATCAGGACCAAGGTTATAGGAATCTGGCACCAAAGAGCTAACTATATTTCCTCCACCACTCTAATGATTTTTAGCCTTCATTAACCCAGCATTAACTCAGACCATATCCTATGACCTAGAGACCAAAGTCCAACTCGTAAATCCTAGAACACAGAATGCATTATTTTTTTGGCTGGGCCTTGATTCCTCTTCAAATTCCCTCCAGCGAGAAACTGTAGAGAATAATATGAAATATATGCCAAAATGACCCTAAATTAATCCAATGTCACTGTTAGATCTTTAAGGTCTTGTTGTGTATCCTTTAACCAATTCCTCTAGGTGATCAGTCTAGATTATTAGCTAAATTCAGTTTAACATAATTCATATCCCAGATTTCCTGAATTAATTCATACCTTAGAGAAAATGATAATGAATTTCAGAGGCAAAAGCTGTGTTTCATAGTCCAAACATCAAACCAAGTCTACACACTACTCACTCATAGCATATGAAAACATTGAAGCATTTATTGAGAGAGATTTAGAATAAACCATATCCATTTTTTTGTTTTGAAACAAATGCAATTCAACAACACAAGGTTTTACATCGACAAATGAGTCATAATAGGAGGAGCCAGCTCAAAAACACAACCAATCTCAGATTCAAAACCTAAAGGACTAATTTCTAGGGAATTCGAGCTTAATAACCTTGAAATCCTTTGATTTTCCTCTGCAAAGGCTGGATTGAGTGTAGTCTGTTCTCTTCTCCTTCTTGTGATCCTGATTAGTGCAGATGAAGCTCCTTCTGGTTTTCTTGAATGGCTGGGTTGCGCACACACTCTCGCTGGAAGAAAATAGTGCGAAACTATTTTCTGGAGAAGAGATCTTCTTCGGCTCTCCGCCTCTCTCCTCTCTCCTTTTCTGTTAGAACACAGCAAAAATGGAATGAATCCCCCAACTTTACTGTTCCTCTCTCTTTTATATCCTGCACAACAAAAATGGATCATCACATAAGTTTAGTTGGGCTTGATTCTCATCCCACTTCCCTTAAAGCTTATATGAAAACTAATCACATCAGAATTTTTATACTAAGATGCTATTCTTTTGACCCCAAAATGTTCAAAGTGTTCAAAACGCAGTTTAGACACTTTCGACCTTAACTGTGAGAATTAATCACCAAAAACCAACTTAATGCACAGAAATGGACAGTACAAATACATACGATACCAACTTAAGGACCGCTGTTTAATTATACACAAAAATCCTGATTGTTTGTATTCTTTCTTTACCAGCTCTTAACCTTTCTATTATTTTCATGAGAAAACATCAATTTTTTGTGGAACAAGAAAAACATATGATACCTCTGTCCTTGAATATTTGTCTCGTTTTTATTTTTTTCAGTCAATTATTTTCAACATTTGACCTATAATTAAATAAAATATATATTGTACATTGATTGGATAAAATAATATTTTAAAAATATTTTATATAATAAATCTAGTAAAACTATTTTGGTTTTAGTATCTAATATAATTTCTATTTAATTTAGGGTCAAAATTTATCAATTTTGACAAAAAAAAGCATAAATAGAAAAATTAGGATGAAGAGAGTATTTGAAAATGAGGACTAAAATAGTGTAACACTCTCTAATAAAAATAAAAAATCTTAAAAATCTTGTAGTTGGAGTAAGACACATAAATTGGAAGTTGGGAGTGAATGAATGACACCATGGCCGTATATGCGCATATGCATGAATGGATGTGAACAAAGATAGTACACACCATACGGTCCAAGTCATTTAATTACACTCCCTAATTGATTTAAATTTTATGTATTTTTCGTATGTGATGGGATGGGTAAGTCACAATCCGAGTAGGGACCAATGGCTGCTGCAGTGGATTGTGAATAAATACAACTGCAAAGAAACCACAATTCTATTCTCTCATCATAGTGCCATCA